CTTATGTTTCTAATCATCCCAAAGCATTTCTCCTTCCTCCCACCCCCCAAAATGAAGTCACTTTGTTTGCAGTTAAATATACGGAAGATGTCCACTTAACAAGTATAAAATTGTGATAGCATTAAGAGGTTACCGCGGTAATAAAAAGCGGGGAACATGCCTGGGAATGTGATCTGTAAGGCAGATAATTTTTAAGGATGGGGCTTGTCCTTGCTTTGTCTGGGGAGAGGCACGTTAGTGATCCCAGGAGGGCAGGGGGGAATAACGCACAGTGCCAAATGAAGATATTTAAAATGTGTAATGTATTTCAGCGTGTTACTGTAAGCTGCCGTTTGATGTTTTTCCTATAAAGCCCAAATTAAGCCTCCTAGGAACGGCTGTGTATCTCCTGCTCCTAGCTGCATCGAAAAACAAAATACATTTTAAATAGCTGTATTACCAATACTCCGGTAGACTTTAAACACATGAGCGTCATCGTCCTCCCTCTATTTTCTCCCTCTGTTCCTAAATGCAGCCCCAGTGTCAAGATAATCCACCTTTAAATTTCAAGCTCATTTGAAATGTAAACTTTTAGCAAATAAGCAATGGCTTATGGAGCTGGATCGCCGCAGTGACTGGCAGCAAATTCCTTTTTCTCCCTCCCTCCCCTCGGCGTAAGGGGTTTGAAATACCCATCAGTGTCAAAAGAAACTGCGCAGATCGCTGCTGTTCTAAATAAGGTAGAGCAATGTTCGGAAAAAAATCCTCCAAAAAAAAAAATATCTCGATGGATTAAAATGACATTTCTGTACCATGTCAGTACGGATGACAAAGCGTCATGTTTTGCATCATTTCAAAAATATATTCTTCAAACAAATTTGGTGTATAAACAGGCAGTGGGCTTTTGTTTGAAACATTTAAGATCACAAGTTAGGGGAAGAACAATTAATATTGCCTATTAAAATCCCCTGTTATTGTTAGAGATACATTTTGTGGTTACTGACTATAAATAAAAGCAAAGAAACAGAGCCACAGTTTCTCACCACTGCAAATACAGAAAGGCAATTTCCAGCTTTTTCTTTTTTTATTTTTTCCCTCCAAGTTGCTCTTAGATGTGTTTGCTGAATAAATGGGATTAACTGTATTTAAAACAAGAGATAAAGAACAGCTTTTTATTACACTGAACAGTCTGCAGGGTTTCCATGCTCCTCTGAATGCACTTCATGCCTGAAACAAAATATTCATATTTTACTTTTTTAATAGCACTGTATAGAATAAGCAAAATATCCTAGAAATAATACAAATATGGAATCAATAGGGAATGGTGTAAAAAAAAAAAAAAGAGCATTTTTACCATTTCTGTTTCTGGCCAAACACTGGAATGATTTTTTTTGTTTGTTTGCAGTTTTGCAGCAGGATGAGAAACCAGGGACAAAAATATTCATTTCGCTGGAGGAGCTTTCCCCTTTCCTTTGGCTGCAAAAACTCACTGAGCACTGTTAATACAAAACTAATGGTGAGAGTGTGATCTGAAGAGCTAAGCCTGCTATCAGCTGAATTTTAATGGAGGCTTTCTCAAAAAATAGGTACAAAGAAAAGAATTTAGACAAATTTGCCTTTTAACCTTTAAAGATTTCCTGCCTATTCCAGTATGTCCTTTATTACATTAATTTTTTATTTAAATTACACCATTAACTGGATATGAATTTATCAAGAATACATATATTGATTTATAAAACAGTATCATTAATTATTATAATAGCTAGATGTAGCTGATATTACAAAGCCATTTAAAGGTTTTTAATATAACTTGGACATACATAGATAGATAGACATTATGGACAAGACTACAATTTAAACTGGCTACCAGCAGTTAATGAAATCTTTGATTTATCTTCTCATTTAAAGATTGATTATATTGTTGCTTTGTAAAACTATTTATTTTATGCCATTTTTCAAAGGATGTCTCAATAAAAGAAAAAGATAAATAAAATATCCAGCCAAGACTCAAAGCATGTTTTGGTTTTTACTTTCCTTTTTAATGCTGCAGCTGCTAATTTATTACAAGTTTGGAGACTTGTCACTTTCATGAAGAACTGGCTTTCTTGATAGTAGCTCTGCTTACGAATGCACAATTTCATATATTTGGATTTAAAAAAAAAAAAAAAAAAAAAAAAGAAGAAGAAGCAAAAAAAAAAAAGAGGCTGTCTTCCCGACAACATCGTGTTTATTTCCTAAACCAAAACCCCACAAAATGCCTTTCTGGCATAGATTTCTCAGGCATATTTTTTGTTTAAGCTGTGCAAAAATGGGACTTACCCTAGTGCTGCAAAGCAGTCAGTCATGGAGAACATTTTGATTTAAAATGCAATCTGAAGAGAAGAAAAAAAAAAAAAAAAGAAAGAATGATATAAACAAACAGTACACGGCTTTCAAGTTACTCCTAAAATGTTTCTAGCTTAACTAATACATTGAAAGTTTAAATCTTTACACATTGTTCTTGAGGGGCTATGTCTCTTGACTCTTTATTTATATCACTTATTCTTGTCTGGCAACATATGTTACTGATTTATTATAGTATTTTTTTACTGTTAGCCAGACAAATGTAAGGGCTAGCTGAGGAGGGGTAGTTGCATCTGATGAGTTTAACAATTGCAGGGCATCCTTTAGGGGTAGCCAATGGGCTCTTTTGAAGCTATAATACTCACCATTAACCATTTTCATGCTGACATATTTTTATTGTCGAAGTTGGGGCTTCCCCTGTCGTCAGCCTCTTTTGTTTTCAATGGCTTCGCAGGCAAATCGACCAGGGTGGTTGAGAGCAGTTCATCCAGCAAAGGCTTTCGTGGGCATCTCAAACTGCGCTTGTAGAGCTTGACATATAAATCTGTAGTGTGCCCCCCACAACTGAATAAAGAAAAAGGAGTGCAGAAAATAACACTTTAAAGAATCTAATTCTATAATGAATGACAAATGCAAACAAATACTGAGCACAGGCAGTCAAATTTCTCAGAGCCATTACTGACACCAAAAGGTAACAGAAAGGAAGACTTTCCTATCAAAATAAACCCCCCTTAAATTCTTATTTTAAAAGGATGCACCAGCATTGGAGGGAGAAGCTGCAAGCGCGGATGGTGAGCTGGATGTTACATTTTACACATGACATTTTTAGGTGACCCATTGTGGAGTAAGAACTTGGACTCTCCCCACCCTTTCGCTTCCTACTCATCTACTGTCCTATCTCCTTGATCAGTACCAACACGTTTCTGCAGCTCCACTGTACCCCCAGTTTATTATTTCACTCCTGGAGGTCCAGCCTGAGCTTCTGGGAGCCAACAGGTTCCTACAAGCAGTTCCTAACATAACACCACAATCACAATTTCCAGCCTTTTGGTGCTAGATCAGACCATTACACATAGTGACATGTCCTACCGTATATGAGGTGCCCAACGTGGGATGCTGAAGAGCCCTGCTCACCAAGGATCACAAAGCAGACTGTAGGGCATACTCCAAATTTCCTGCTGTTGGGAATTCAGTCGGATCTTTAAGATAGGAGACAGCTCCAAAAAGTTGGGTTTCATTTCCTTTGCACCTTCAGGAAACAAGGGGAAGAGGCTGTGTAAAGCCAACACAAGAGCACAGGTCCACAGCAGTGATCTTCTACTGGGGAAAAAGATAGATCGAGTAGTGTTTTGGGTGGAATTTGTGGGGTTTCAGGTAGAATAAATACAGGAATTGCAGTGAAACTCACTGGGATCCCTAGAAGTGGGAGGTTGAGTTGGTAAATCAAGGCATGTCTCCTCACTAGCACTAGTGGTTCCTTGACAAATACCATACAATACAGTTTTTACTGGGAGAAGAATGAAAGAGAAGTGCTCCCATGTTTTTTTGTTTTGACTTAATAACTGTTCAGTCAACCTGGGCTAATCTGTTTGTTTTTTCAATTTAAAAAATGGCTGACCATTCCCTCTACTTATTATAGGGGGTTTTGAGAAGAAACTGAACTTCCTAAAGTAGGTCTGGATTCAGCAGCGTGCCAAAAACTTGCATGGAAATTATTTTCCTTTCTATTCACTTTTCTATCACAAGAAGCTAGCCTAACTTTTATTTATTGTATTTTATTTTTTTTCAAATTACAATTTAATTGTACTTTGGCTGGCTGCCTGCAACAATTTGCAACCCCAGAGTGATCCTTTGGAGACAAGTCTTGCCTTCCTGAACACCAAAGACTTGTGGTGGAAAAGGCTGCAGATAAAACAGATACACGAGGACTCCTACAGTTGAGGGTTTGAAATCTTGACTTTTCTCATTTCTACTGAAAGGTTTTATTTAGGCAGGTGTCACTAGTGTCCTGGGCAAATATCAAATATTCAGTGGCATTATTGAAGCTTGGAGTATGTGGAGTGTTACTTGTTTAATTTTCTGTTGTAAAGACATTGCTGGCAACTTCATAATTAAGCTAGTAACCTTCCTTAAATTTGTTTATTCCCCTCAAGCGTGGAGTTATTTTGGCTGGGGAGGGAGGAACGGGGAGCATGGCTTGATTTCTCAATCACTCCCTTTCTGTTTTGTCCATCACCTTGGTTTCTTTCCCCTATTTTTGACCTGCACTTTTTCTGGATCAAACACTGGCAGGTTGAGAGGTAATAAGAACCAGATGGACATAGTGCAGAAATTGCCCAAATGGGTACGAGAATGTGGGGAGCTGTCAGGCATGGAGAGAAGCTGGAATTTTTCAGCAATAAAATGGGATTTATCGCCACTCTACCACAGTCATTGCCGACAACCGTTTACCTTGACAGAAACCCCATTCCAATAGGCCACGCCGATGCAGATTTTTTTTTTTTTTTCCCAAAGAGTGATGATTGGTATTTGTTCTAAGGCTCAAATGGCCTGCACTAAAGGTGAAGCATTAGGCCAAAGTCCTGTATTCCCTACTGAGGCAAATGAACCTGCTAAAATAAGTTCCTTCCACAATAGCTGTGTAATTGAAACCAGAAAGTGAGAGAATTTGATAAATTGCTTGACCCTGAAGGAATGTTAAGGTCATAAACTTTCATTGCATTTTTTTTTTCTTCTAAAAAAATATCTCTTTTTTATATATATGTATATTTATTATGTTCAGTATTTGTCTTCAAATTCCATCTAGCTTCTAGATCATTAGCCATTACTTTGCTATCCTCTCCCCACAGGCAACTATTACAAGGTTTAGAGCATTCCTACCTACACCTTCCTATGAGGGCTGAAGGACACAAAATATTCACAAATGGCAGCACTTACATGCTACTGATAAGGAATCTGCCACATAAAGCACTAGCAACTTGAAATGAGGGATTTAGCAAGTGCAATCCCTTTAGAAAGATTAATTTAAAAAAAAAGAAAAAAACAAAAAAACAGAAAACAGTACTGTACTTGAAGAATGATAAGGTAAAAAAAAAGGTCTGCAAAACATTTACAGGGAATCAAACATTTATTGCTATTCTTACCTCCTTTCCTTTTTTTTTTTTTTGCTTACTCTCTTTACTTGAAAAAGAATGATCAGTATTTTATTGAATAATAAGTACAGATGTCCCTTCAAGCTTAAAAAGCACAAATAAACCCCAAGCCATGCAGTATCTTATCATGGAAATATACACTTAAAGAATAAATAATTTTTTAAAAAATAATAAAATTAAATAAAAAAAATAAAAAAAAAAAAAAAAAACAAAACAAAACATAAAACCAAGAAAAAGGATGAGAATAATTAGGAGAATAACCAGCAATGTAAAATATCTAGCCATGCTCCCTTCTCTGTGCTTGCAACTGTCAATAAATACAGCCATGTTAAAATAGCTCCTAAGGAGTGGAGGGAAAATATAGAAGTATTTTGGTTTTGTTTATGTTTTGGTTTTTTTGTTTTGTTTTGTTTTTTGGTTTTTTTACAGTAGTAAAATTTACTTCTTTAGCTGTAGCAGCTTCTGCTTCACAACTGCTTGAAATATGCTATCATATAGTAATTGCTTTTTATAATCTCGCTGTTTTCCTCCCCCCCACTTTGAATATAACATTTCGGAGGCAAAAGTCTCATTGTCGCACTTCAATAAGGCGTTACACTTTACATAGCCATACATACTTAACCCAACATGAAGCGAGTTAAATAATCATTAGCACAGTAACCCATTGCTATCAAAAACTTATTGGTCCTCTAAATTCTAAATTAATGGCCTGTCTCCCTTGTTCTGTGTGTGTGTGCGTGTGTCTGGTTTTCAGCCACTTCAGTGCAAAGTCATAGATGTTTTATCAGCACATATTAGACGATTTGCACTATCGACATTTCAATTTAAAAATAAAAAAAAAAAAAAGCGCACAGGGAAAAATAGTTCTTGCTGAGTTGGTTCATCCCTAGACCCCTGATTTTTAAGTAACTCTTCTGAGTGTTAATTAGCAGCCAGTATTTGACAAACTGCCTAAGAAACACACTCTGCTGCTCTCTAGCCAGGTTGTTCTAGCTCAAATATCTTTCCTTAAAACAGTATGGAAAAGAGCAGCTAAAGAAAAAAAAAAAAAAATTAAATGACGCCCCCATGAAATCCTAGCAAAAAACTCAATAATTTATACTCACTTTTTCTTTTTTTAGGAATTAAACAAAACTCTGGTAGGTGGTGGGGTTTTTTGCTTTTTGGGGGACTTTTTTTCCCCATAAAGTTTATGGCCCGAATCCCTTCTTTCCTTTTTATTTATTGGAGTCTTGAAGTAATTGCTAGTCATTTTAAGACAGTTACTTATCCAGAGAATGAAGGAGTATCGGCTGTGTTTCAATTAGAGAAGGAAAAAAGATAAAGACTTGGAATGTAACCGAAAAATGCAAAGTGACATATTAGGATGAGAATTTTCATCTGTTGCTGTATAAATATTTTAATAAAAGTTCTAAAATAATGTGTCTGCCTCCTGCTCTATAAAAGAAAGGACATTATGAAGTGCAAATGATGCAGCTTAGATGTATAGATCCGACTGGGATTTTTCACCATTAAAGAGTCTCTTCGTGCCTCTCCTCCAGAACTTGGTTTTAGAGCTGTTTCAGACCCCAAAAAGTATAATACTCTCATAAGTATAAATAAAAGATGAGCAGCAAGTGACTTCAATCACTAATATTTTTTGCAAACTAACATTCAGCTGATGCAACTCGATTTTGTTTTGCATTGCATTAGTGTCACTGTGGCAATGACTGGCCTTTATTCACCAACCCTTTGAGTCAGCACTTTGAGACATCTTTCAAATTAGGTCATACTGCAAATTTGCCGCTGATACAAAGGTTGATTAAGAGAGCTTCACAATTTTAACGGGATGTCGTGTAAGGAGAATTAAGGTCTGGATGATAGTTCCAGGAAATGCGAGGGCCTGTAACTATGTGGAAATAATGTATGGGCTCTATGGGGAAAGAACATATTTCCTCAGAGCACTTGAAGTAACAGTCATTTACAATTTAACTAAGTCCTCCCCCCTGTTATGGAAGAAATCGTATGATGGGTCTTGAAAATAAGC